TGTCTCATTTCCCCATTTGGAAGATATGGAAATGGAGGTTCAGAGGGGGTAAGTGATTTGCCAAAGGTCACACAGCAAGTTAGCAGTGGAGCCAGCACAAGAATGCAAATTTTCTGCCTTGCAAGGTCTATATTCTTTTCCTTGTTCCCCCATCTCTTCAGCTGCCTATTTTCAGAAGCTACAGGTTTACAGTCAGGTTCACCAGCTTCAACTATCTGTCCTACATTTCCATCATTTCTCTCTAAATTCCCTAGTGTGCCTTCTAAATCTTTCAGAAATTTGAAGCAGCAGCATTTTATTTCAAATACTCTGATTCTGATCAGAACGAGGGCTAGCAGTGTACAAAGGAATTTGGGGGAACAAATTGCTTTGGCCAATTAATCAACCCCCAAATTGGAGACTTCTGTTCAATTAATTTTCCTTTAAAGATATTTTCATTTTTTCAAGAAAAATGCTTCCTTCAGAATGGAAGAGTCTAACATTCCCAATTGCAGGACAGGGGAGATTTCTAGAAAAAAAAAAACAACAACCATGACTTTTCCAACAAGCAAAAACTTGAGAAAATATCTGAAAAATGTTGCTAAATTAAAATATTCATTCAAAAATCAGTTTTATTGTCATCTTGTGTGTGTGTGTGTGTGTGTGTGTGTGTGTGTATTCACTTTCCCTCTTTCCATCTTGTTCTTGGCTACTAGCATTTTTTATGTAATTTTTGTTCTAGACAATTTTTGGCAACATTTTGGTAACCTTTGTTTTTGGTAACCTTTCAGTTAAAGTGAGAAAAAAGATAATAATACTATTATTTATATTGCCTTTGATATATTTAAAATAGTTGACAGTACATAATAACTGAAATAAAAATATATATTTCATATATAAAGGGCATTTTTACTCACCTATAGTTGCCTGAACAGATGCCAAGTGATATTTTACAGCTGATTCCAAAATTTAAATCTCTAAGAAAAACACACTTTTAAGTATATTAGTTTTTATCTTAATCTGTTTAAACATTAGACTTCCTGGTTTTCATGTTCACTGAAAGTGGCTTGGATTAACAACATTTTTTCTTGGTTCTTGGGAAAAAAATGACATAACCTCTTAATTTCATATGTTCAAAAACATGAGTCCTAAAACAGCACTTACAGCAAATGCCTACATATACAACCTCAGTTGACCTTCAAAACAACCCAGTGAAATATTATCATTATTTACAAGGTGAGAAGCCTGAAGGTCAGAAGGCCCTCATTCTGTAAATATTGATGAAGGTTTACAGGGCCTAGAAGAGAAGTGTTCAATGGGGCTGCCTGGCCCAACCTGCAAACTGAAGAGGAATGTTCATTTTGGCTGCCATTAAGTAGAGATTTTGTCTATGGAAACAGGGTCTGTCCTTGTCTCTGATGCCAATGTCAATCTAGAATTATTCTTCTATCTTTCACAAAAACACCACATTGCTGTCATTCAGAAACTGTGACCGTCACCCAGAGGTACTGGGAGATGGCAAGCTGGTAGGGCTTCCAGATAAAATATAGGACTCCTCATGAAAACTGAATTTCAGGTGACAATGAATAGTTTTTTAATATAAATATGCCCCATGCAATATTGGGACATACTTATACTAAAAATATTGCTCATGGTTTATCTGAAATTCAATATCTGAAATTCAATTTTAACTGGGGATCCTATTTTTTAAGTTGCTAAATCTGGCAAACCTACAAGCCAGTCTCTTAGGCAAGAAGCAGCTGATGGCCTGACCCAAGCTTGAAGGACAGTGAATTTACTAGTGACCTCACAGAAGTAAAAGCTGGACTCTGTCCTTTGGGCTTATTCCCTGGTTCGCAGCTTGTAAGCTTACTTTACCCTCCTGCATCTCAGTTCCCTCCTTTGCATAACAGCAGATATTGAAAGCCCCTATTTCCTTATGATTCTTATGAGAGTTAAATAAAATAATTCAGAATGCCTATGATATGATAAATGTTTGATAAGCTTAGTTTTCCTGTTAGTATTTTCTCATAGTGCCTCTCCTACCCAGAGAACACAGTGATGACAATTATCCATAACAGTAATAATCAGATTATCCATAACATATTGTTACCTTTACCTACACCTATACCTTTACTCACTTATATTTTTTTAAACAGTTCTTTTTTTTTTTTTTCAAGATTTATTTATTTATTTATTTGTTTATTTATACACGCACTGGGTACAGTCAGAAGCGCGGGAGGGTGAGAGAATTCACCAGAGCCAGAGCGGGGAGCAGAGCAGGCAGAAGGACCGAAGGACACTGCTGAGGGGAGCAGCGGGCGGCAGGAGAGGTCTGCGTGCCATGTGGGACCCTCCTCCGGTGGCCGGGGAGCAGCCGGGGATCGAACCGGCGCTGCAGAGGCCGCGGGCAGCTTCGCAACCCAGGCTCAACCGCTGCGCCACCAGGGAGGCCCTACTCACTTATACTTTTACTCACCTCTATCTCTATGTCTATTACCTCCATCTCTTCCTGAAATTTTTTACTGGCCAGGACACTTGTATCTAGTAACTGAATTGTTTGGTGACTCTCCTTTAAAAATACATTTTTATCTCCATTTGTAGAGTTTTATATTGAGTTGTCTGTATTTTATTATTATGGCTTTCAACTCTGGTTCATGGAAAGTGGAAGTGTATTGCCTTTAGTTTTGAAATGTTTGAATATATGTCTGTTCAGCTTCATTTTTGTTAGATTCATCACATTTGTAAATTTTTACTGTATATTGTATTGAAAACTTTTAACATATACATAGTTTTATTTGTTCAGTTAAAAAATATTGTTCCATTACACCCTACATTTCCTGAATTTAGATATTAATTAGGGGATAATATAGTAAAGGTGCAATTACTGTGTTCTCTGAATAAAGCAGATATTACCATTTTACAAAATGTCATTCTTATGTGTGTATATGTACATAGATGCGTGTATATGTACATAGATACATACATATATACACATATATAATTAACATATACTTAGCTGTATACATACTATATATATAGCTGACCCTGCAACACCATGCGTATGAACTATATGGGTACATTTACATAAAGAAGTTTTTCCACATTGTCCCCATCTGAAATAGCAATATCAACCCCCAACCCCTTCCTCTTGAGTCTACTCAATGTGAAGATGATGAGGATGAAAACCTTTATGATTACCCACTTCCATGTAATGAATAGTAAATACAAAATATGTGCTCGTTCACTGTATGTTATTGGGGAGGTTTGCAGTTATTAGTAGTTAAGTTTTGGGGACGTCAAAGGGATAGGTAGATTTTTGACTGTATGAGGGTCAGCAGCTCTGACTCCCTTATTGTTCAAGGGTCAACAGGATATATATACATATATACATAACAAATGTTTCTGGATTCATCTCTTTATCTGTTAAATCAAGGTTAATGTATGATTCTATTTGAAACACATACATCTAGTAGTAATAGCTACATATGAGGATAGAGGATAGGATGAGGGACTTAGTAAATATGAGCTGTTCGAATTTTCCTGATGCTTCTAGAAAGTTTGGTGAGGATGATGTATCTAACTCTGTGGTAAGTATTCTGGGATCATGCAAAAGGGCTTATGATTTACTGAGGGTGGAAGGATGGGGAATAAACATACAAATACCCATGGTACAAAGCAGCCAGCAATGAAGGAACTTACGATGAATCCTGATAATGTATGCTTTGGGATCAGATGTGTTTGTCCATACAATACTAGTGATCCCAAGGCCATATTTGACCAATGATGACCTTCTTGCCTACGTCCTGCTGGACACAGAACTGCCCATTAAGATCAACATAAAAGATGGTACTTTAAAATGCCAGCTGCTTGACCTTACTAAACAGCACACTTTGATTTCTTTTCTCAAGAAAAAGATGCTTTCCAAAATTTTAAAAAAGTATACAAAAAAGTACATTAAGTATTTAAAACCAAATAAAAGTGATGTTAGGTGGCCTTTTTTTCATATTAAGTGAACGCAGATGTTGCTACCAGACAGTAGCTGCCTGTGCTTAGGCCAATACAATAAACCTGTCCTGCTGGGATTTGCTGGTGGCCCTGGAAGTCACCACACCCTTCAGGCAAGTAATCTGTCCCCGTACATCAAGAGCCCCAGCAATGATTACGCCTTTGTCTCAGTAATCCTGCCTCTGAGTGACTTGTTTAAGAAAACAATGCAGGGAAGAGTTGGTTACAAACACGCAAATGCAAAAGTGCGTGTATCCTTTGTTTATTTAAATGAAAATGTTTGGGGAGACACCTGTCATTTTTGCCTTCACATTTATATTTCCTGTAGCAGAACACAACACTGACCACATCGGGGGCTGCCCAGTGCTGCAGCCTAGGGTCCCACACTCTGCAAGGGACCCTGTGCTTGGGGTTTAATGCTCTGCAATGGCTACTTTGAGATTCTTTATGATCGCATCTGTGGCTTTGCGCTTTGTCAGTGAAGTCTGTTAGGACAATGGAAAAGCACAATCAATAGATCCTTGATTTACTTGTGCTTCTGTCTTCTACTACCTCTGCTGATTCTCTGGTGCCCATGACCTGAGACTCTCCAGTTACTGCGCTGTCTTTTACTCCTGGTGAGAGGATGGGCGTACGTGGAGGGAGTGTTGGGGTCCAATGCATGCCTCTGACCCTTTGGGGTGAGTCCCTGGATACCTTGGAGGATCTCCATTAGACCTAAAATTTTCTGTTGCATCCAAGAGAGTACAACATTAAATAGCAAATTAAAAATCACCTTGACAGGCTGAAAGAAGGCCCACAAAAGAAAGGGAAAACAATTTTCCCTGCTTTTGTGGACAAGGGTCCCACTTTGGCATTTTGCACAGGGCCCCACAAATTGTGCAAATGATCCTAAAAGAAAAATGCTAGCAGGTGAAATTCAGTGGGCTTCGAGTTTCGATACAGCTTTCCCAAGAAGTTATTTTAGATGAAATGGGACAAAGGCAAACTCATCCCCTTAATTTCTTACCCAGGCTGCAGGAATCCAGCCAGGGAGGGAGAGAAAACACACAGAGCCCGTGGCATTCCCGTGGTAATGCTTATGGATTTTCCCACACTGGTAAGAAAGTGTCTTCAACTCTTGGCCCTGAGAATTATTGTGTGTGTGTGTGTGTAGGAGGGAGATGTGGAAGTTAGTGTTTCCTGCAATATTTCTTGCGATTTCCCCCTTTGCTTCCCTCCCCCTACATTTAAAGGAATCATTCCACTATTTGAGATGAGATTTGTCCCAATTTGTCCCAAAATTCTTGTGTGTGAGGATTATTTCAAAGGATTTAAAAAAAAAACAAAAAACACCAAGGTAGATTCAGTACGCCAGGCAGACCCATCAATCTTGTCTGTAATTGGGTCTGCCATTGGTGAGTAGCCACTTGGGAGGAAATTGCTCACCCATGTGGAGTGAATGAATTCTTTCAGGGTGCAGGGCCTCCACTGAGGGCTGCAGATGGCCACCTGCCAAGCAGTCTCCTCGTGGTGCCTGGCTCAGCTGCAGGCCCAGGTTCAGACTAGGGAGCAGTTTGTCCCTCTGGTCCTGCAGATAAGCGTCTGTTTGCTCTCTTCTTCCTGGTTTGGCAGGGCTGGGGTCCATGGACAGAGGCGCTGACATTAAAAGCATGAGGGCTCTTGGTGACAGGAACAGGGATACAGATTCACAGCGAGCTTTGAGTGCCTTTGTTTGACACAAGGAAGAGCAAGCCAGAGTTGTTCCATGACGTCAAGCTGAAAGCTGATGAGGCCATTCCTGCTTCCAGTCGATTAATCTCTGGGCCATTTGATGCCAACTGTTTATGAAGAAATGCCAGTTCCATTGGCAATTTTTCCAGAATTGTTCTAAAGAACTGACTTGACTTTTTCTTTCTTCCAACATATTCCAAATAATGCCTTGTTGTGAGAGAGCTCAAGTAAAATAGTAACCCATCTAAATCAATGCGAGCTCACCTCTTTTATCTGTCAGAGGTGTTGGTGATAAATTAATTAAGGAAGTGGAATTCCTGTGTTTATGCTTTCAGACGACTTAACTGAAAGAACATTTAGCTGCCACTCTTTCCTGTTTTGGAAGAATCATCTGCTTATGAGGCCAATGACTGAATTCACATCTTCAATATTCTGCATCAAATTCTTCAAGAGGAAGGTCTCTCTTCCTCTTGATTGAAGTCCAAGGCACTAAAGCCCAGGTGCTTCTTAGCTATTGTTTGGAGTGGCATGGTACCTTGGTGAAGAGAGTAACGTATGATAGGGGAAGTATACTAGAACCAAGAATCAATAGATTTATGTAAAACACAGTCTCTTCCTTAGAGGGAAAAGAAATAATGCTTGTGGAGAGGGCTGAGCTCAAGCGGTGGTATTTACATTTGGGGCACGGTGAAGAGCCAAAGAAGGCAAAATCTCCGGGATGAGCCCCTGAGTTAGTTGAGAACAGATTGCTGAGAAATATTCCAAAAGCACTTTGTTCTAAATCTCTCAACAATAATCACCTTGGATTATGGTTTTGTGTCGGCTTGCTGATCTCTCCCACTGGCCTAACTTCTCTAAGCTCACGATCTGGAACAAACATGATCCTGAAAAGCTTAGTGAATGAAAGAATGAACAAAAAGACTTGTCCCTGTATGTTGTGAGGTGTGGAGTAAGGAGGAGCTGTCAGGGTGTGGTGATACCCAGAGCAAAGCACTTGATGTGTTTTTAAGGCCTTTGCCTCAAACAAGCCAAGATGAAAACATTCAAGAGGAAAAATGCTCCCGAAGGAAGAATGTATTGGCAACACCCGAAGTGTCTTAAGCAACTTTAAAACAACTTACAGCTCTTGATAGATGAGCTAGGAATTTGGAGCCTATATACCCCTGGGAAATCAGCCAAAAACACTGCGTGGCTATATATTTTAAATCTATAGCAACAGCTCAGACAAATTAAGGTTGTTCTCAACTCTGACTCTCGTGACACGCCTCCCTGGCCAAAGCTGCTTTCCTTTTCCCTTGGTATTCTCATTTTACTCCCTAGAAGAGAGCAGAATGTTCTGCATGGAATTTTATCTTTAAATTTCTGAAGCACCCAGGGCATGTCTCAGGAAAATGGCAGGACCCAGGTGTGTAGCCTCTTCTTTCTCACCGCGTCATAATTTAGGGCTTTGACGGTCTAAGTCAAGCACACTGAACTTGAAGCCTTTGTCTACTCTGGCTAAAGAAGTCATGTTTTGACAATCCACTTTATACAGTTCAGCTAAAATCAAGTCTATTAAGGGGGATTAAAGGCCACCGTCAACTGAGTTTAGAATTCCCAAACTCGTCTAAATGGACTCAAGGAGACGTGGTTGTCCAGAGTGATGCTCCCCCAAAGGCCAACCGCACATGACAGGGATGCTTATCAATGAACAAAGTTTGTGTCCGGCACATGCGTGTCCAGCTCTTTCCTGCTCTGCTGTGGCTGAATTTGTCATGGCTCAGGAAGTGTGGCACCTGGTTCACCCTGGCCTGTGAACACCTTTTCATGTGTCTCGGTTGCTACTGTAGGATCTTGATACCCTTCTGAGTCCTCAGAGGCAGTCTAATTGTCTTACCCCATTTTTTTTTGGTATTTTTTAAAGATTTATTTATTTATACAAGAACCGGGATACTGGCCAGATGTGCGGGAGGGTGAGAGGATTCGCCAGAGACAGAGTGGGGAGCAGAACAGGGAGATGGACTGAAATACACTGCTGAGGGGCTCAGTGGGTGAGACAGGAGAGGTCTGCTGCGTCATGTGGGACCCTCGTGGGACCGACGCTGCAGAGGCTGCGGACAGCTTCACAGCGCTGTGCTCAACTGCTTGCGCCACCAGGGGAGGCCCTTGTCTTACCCCATTTTTGCATCATGTGGAGAAAAGTATAACTTAGTTGGGCTTGGCCAGTGTGGTGAAAAAGCAAAGGTGAGAGAATTAAGAACCTTCTTCCTGGGCATCTAAGGTGGGATCTACTTATATCCGTATTGAATAGGATACAACAGTTGTTCCCCAGAATGATCAATTCCTCTGAGATTCATAGTCTGTATTTGTACCCCATCCTGCTTTTACCCCCTGAGGCTGACACTGGATCTGTGCCTGGAGAGGGGTTCTTTGGTCTTCGGTCCTCTGTTGGGCCAGTGCTTCCTCAACAAGAACATCCTTCAAAGTAGAGAAGAGGAACTGAACAAAGGGAAAATGCTGCTTGTGCTCACAGCCTAAACAGACCAGGCTGAGCAGAGCAGGAAACTCCTCTCAGCGGGGCCTTCCTGGCCACTGCAACCCTCTGCAGGAGGGTGAGGTCCTAGGGAAGACTTTCTTGCCTCCGCAGTGACTCCCTTGGCCTATGGTGGGTGCCTGGTCTGGGGCGGTCATTCTAAGTCTCCATGACATGGCCTTGCTTTCTTTCCCAGCTTAACTTCTCATCTCTCCACACTGCCCCATTCAGACTCTGCTCGTAACGTCCCCCATGCACCTCCTTATCTGACTAATGTCTTCTTTAGCCTTGAGGATTCCAGTGGAGCAGCATTTTGTTGAGGAAGTCTCCTCAAGACTCCCAGCACTGGACTGGGTTGGCTTTCTGGCACTCATAATGCTCTGTGCATATCTCCAGGGCTGACTTAATGACATTTTTGTATTATTATTTGTCTCTTCTCTTTTCTTTACTATGAGGAACAATGATCCCCCTTCAGGAATGAGGCACATATTCCCTCCAATGTTGGAAGTTCCAGGGGAGACAGCCCTAAGCTGTCAGCTCCCAGCAGGGGTTGCCTGTGTTGGCAAGGGCGGCCTGCGCCGCGTCCCTTTTCTGGGATGGTCAGCCTCCAAGGACCAATCAACACAGAGGTGAGAAGACTCGGCCCTGAGTGCAATGGGTTCAAGTTGAAAGCTCCCCTGAGCCCAGACCTCTGTGCAGGGTCAGTGAGGCTTCTGTTGAGAATCCTTGCAGCTCAGCTTATCCTGGGCCTGATCCTGCTTCCTTCCTGCCTTTTCTCGGGTGTTGATTCAAGAGCTTCCTCTTCTATCTTCTGAGTGCTTATCTCCATCTCAGAACTGGCTTCCAGAGACCCCAGAGTGCGACACCTCTCCACGTCAGATCTGAGCAGCTTGAGACGCATCTTACTCACCTTTGTCTTTCCGGCACCCAGCAAGGGGCCTGGCAGAGTGTGTTCTTAGTAAATGTTGGTGCCCAGCATGAGTGGGATTCCAAGCGAGACATTTGATGTTGTTAAAGATAAAGGAGGCAGTTGGATTTTTTTCCAGAAGGCAAACAACTTTATCATCTGACTGTTAACAGGGGAAGAGTTTGGATTTGGGTTTGCAGATCCGGGTGGAAGTCCTGCTCTTTTCCTTCCCTGTGAAGTATCTACATTTGCTGGATTCTGGCAAGAAACAGAGGACTCACGCCAATGAGGAGATGTGAGGAGGGTTTAATACAGCGAAGGCCAACTTCAAGGAAACCAGCATGTAGTTTAGTGTTTGGGAATAATTGTCATGTTTGCCTCCCCGAGCCTGAAGGGGGTAGGGAAGGGGGCCAGCAAAAGGAATGGTGGTTTTTACAGCCTGTTCACGGACACCTGGTGAGAAGGGAGCGGGAAATAAAGGCCCGGGCTTATTCTCCACCAGTGTCTCTGCTCTTCCTGACCTTTTGCCTGAGGAGAGGCCAGAAGCCCGATGACCCCCGCCGCAGGCCACTGGTTTCCCAGGAACAGAGAGCAAAGAAGAGGGAGAGTGTGGAGAAGGAGGGGAGTAGGTCTGGAGTGACAAAGGGAGGCACCCAGGACAGGGCCCGTGGAAAGACTCGAGAGTTTAAGTGATTTGTGTCTTCCCTGGGGAAGAGCGCCACCCCCCGCCCCCCAGCCCACCCAGTGGGCAAGATCCGTAAGACACGCCCTGTGAACTGGAGCTGAAATACAGGGACCTACGTAGTTTAAATGAAAATTTTCTGTTATTTTCCCAAGGGTCATGCAGTCCAGCCCCGTTCCAGATCTAGGGAGCGATGCTGCCCCAGTCTTAGTGATCAGTAGCAGGAACTCACTCCCTTGCCTGCTGCCTACACTGCATTGGGATTAATAATGACTGGGGAGTTAG